TATATATATATATATAATTTCAATTTGATCATTTAAATAATCTGTGTTCTTTTTAATTTACCAGAAACTACAAAATAAATTCTCTAGGGATGCGCCGATAAATCAACAGGCCGATTTATCGGCCCCGATTTCCATAATTATGGGAAATTGGAAATCGGACGATAGTTGCATGTGAAACTGATTTTACAAATTTTTTTAGTTTTAACAACAATTGTCTGATCTTCATCTATATTTCAGAGCATTACCTCATGGCCATTTAAAACAAGTTTGTATTGTTTCTAGGATATTGTTCAAGGGTATGTTTTTCAGTAAAATAATATTAGAAAATTGAAGGTGCATTGTGAACTTATAACACCTGACCGTGTCACTTATAAAACTAAATCGGTATCGGCCAAAATCAGAATCGGCAGGTCAGACTTTTTAGAAATCGGTGATAGGCCAGAAAACTGCAATCGGTGCACCGCTAAAATTCTCCCCCTGTACAAAACCTGTTTCAAGGTCTTACCGACACCAGCTGGTAAGGCTCGTGATGTCAATTTGAACCCCGTCCACTGGAACCGGTACTGAAAGCATAATGAAAGGGGATACGGAAACACAACGTGTATCGTACCGAGCCAAGTCAAACCGTGCTGTATCGGTACTAAAGGTTACTATTGTGGGGCGGCTGTGGCTGAGTGGTTAGAGCAGTTGTCCTCCAATGCGAGAGTTGGGGGTTCGAATCCACCAGCAGTCACATGCTGAAGTGTCCCTGGGCAAGACACTGAACTCCTCATAGCCTCTGATGTGTGTCCCTTCAGTGTATGAATGTGATAAAGCACTGATTAGTCTCTTTAGAATGATTTGTTCAATTATCTTTGTAGAGATGTAGTATAGAGCTGAATGAATGGGTCAATGAGGCACAGATTGTAGTGTAAAGAGCTTTGAGTATCTTACCATACCATACCATACCAATTTATTTATATAGCACTTAAAACAGCAACAAGGCCAACCAAAGTGCTGTACAAAAGAACCAAACATGCACAGCAGACAGGAAAACATAAAATAGAAATACAGATACAAATAGCAGCAGAAGCTAACTAAAATGGCCAACAGAGTAGAGAACAGACCGGGCCAAAAAAAATCACAACGTGTTAAAGGCAAGCGAATAGAAGTGGGTCTTCAAGCGAGACTTAAAGACTGAGAGTGTGGGAGCCTGCCGGACACTCAGTGGCAACTCATTCCACAGTCGTGGACCTGCAACAGAGAAAGCCGTGTCACCCCTGAGCTTACGACGGGTTTCTGGGACTGAGAGAAGCATCTGGTCTGCTGACCTCAGAGAGCGCGGTGGGACATATGGCTGCAGAAAATCAGTGAGATAGGATGGGGCGGAACTGTTCAGTGATTTAAAAACATACATGAGAATTTTGAAATGGATCCGAAGGTGAATGGGTAGCCAGTGCAGGGAGGCCAAAACAGGCGTGATGTGCTCTCTATAGCCTGTACCAGTTAAAAATCGGGCTGCAGCATTTTGGACCAGTTGTAGACGAGCAATGGAGGACTGACTGATTCCAAACAGAAGTGAATTGCAGTAATCAAGCCTAGATGTTATGAAGGCGTGGATCACTGTCTCGAGGTTCTTTTTGGAGAGTATAGGCTTCAGCTTAGACAGCCGTCTCAGCTGAAAAAAACAGGATTTGACCATCATGTTTACGTGACTGTTGAGTTTTAAGGACGGGTCCATTATCACCCCCAGATTAGTCACCTTTTGTTTCTCTAGCGGGGCTAGAGAGAAAAGGTCAATGTCATGGTTCATGAGTGAGCCACTGGGATGGAACAGCATGACTTCAGACTTCTTCTCATTGAAGCTTAAGAAGTTTAAAGCCATCCAGTCCCGGATGTCAGCCAGGCAGTCAAGAAGAGGCTGAATAGAGCGTGTGCCTCTGTGCCTCAGGGGGAAGTAAATTTGGCAATCATCGGCATAGAAATGAAAGGGTATGTCGTGTTTGCGGAAGATAGCACCTAGTGGCAGCAGGTATAAAGAAAAGAGAAGGGGACCGAGGATGGACCCCTGCGGTACCCCCCACTGGAGTGCGGTCGATGCCGAACTAAAATCTTTGATATTGACACAGAAGGTTCTGTCAGAGAGGTAGGACCCAAACCATTTAAGGGCTGACCCTGTGATGCCCACCCACTGCTCCAGTCTAGAAATGAGGATATTGTGGTCGATGGTGTCAAAAGCAGATGTAAGGTCCAATAGGACAAGCAGCACAGAATCACCTGCGTCTGTGGATATGAAAATGTCATTAAAAACCTTCAGTAGAGCAGTTTCAGTGCTATGGAGAGATTTGAAGCCAGATTGGAATAACTCAAGGATAGCGTGATCCCCCAAAAACTGTTTCAACTGAGACTCCACAATTTTTTCCAGTAGTTTAGAGGTGAATGGGAGTCTGGAGACAGGCCGGAAGTTGGACATGACTGAGGGGTCAAGGTTAGGTTTTTTCAGGAGGGGCTGGACAGCAGCATGTTTAAAAGTCTTTGGCACCACACCTGAGGATAAACTGCTATTCAGAATAGCGAGGATAAAAGGACCCAGGGTAGGAAAAACTTCCTTTAGTAGTCGAGGGGGGACCACATCAAA